TTCTTTTGTATGAGAATGCAATGATGGACTCTTTTTTTTGCCCAGCGAATCTGTGATTTAAAGTCTTAAACTTTTGATTGAAATTTTTTAGAGCTTTTATCGTATTTGTTATCTATGCTGATGTTAACAGAGTGTTTTTTTTTTAATCAAAATTTTGTTTTATTTTCTGTTGGGCAGCTTTTGGTGTGCTACGGATGTTGGTTTATTGCTCTTTGCATACACTTAGCCTTTGAGCTACTAAATACGTCAAGGTATACTAACTTTTGTCTTAAGGGTACCCAAAAGCAACCGATGAAATCAAAATTACCCTACAAGACATGCAAGATTGTGTTGCAATGTTAAATTATGTGCTTATATATATTGTATGAAAGATTATACTTGGAAGATATAACGTTGCAAAGATCAATGTTGTTTCTATTGAATCTTAGCTTTCAGAGAACTCAGAGATGTAAAAAATATATTCTTCTCATTTACTTTTGTTATTGAACAATACATTGACATCAGTATATATAGATACAATTCTATTGCCATAATTGACCTCAACATACAGCAGCTAATTACACATTTACCCTTTGTCTAACTAACTCTAACTATACAATTACTACTAGGCTCTTTGCACCCCCTTAAGCTGAGACTTGGGACTGGAAAAATGCCAAGAGGAAGCTTGGATTGCAGAAAGCAGAATCTGTGTTTTGATAGAGATTTGGTGTGGATATCAGCTAACTGATCTTGGCTGCAGAAATAAAGAACTTTAATCAAATGGGCCAAGACTAATTCCCAAATGTAATGATAATCCACTTCAACATGCTTTGTCCGAGCATGAAACACAGGATTGGAGGCAAGAGAAATTGCTGAAATGTTATCACACCAAAGAGTTGGAACTAAAGACAGAGGAAAGTTGATATCAGAAAACACTTTACAAATCCAGGTGATTTCAACTGTAGTATGTGCTAAAGCTCGATATTCAGCTTATGTGGAGGATCTTGCGACAGTTGGTTGCTTTTTAGCATTCCAACTGATTAGATTTGGACCTAGAAAGACACAGAAACCAGTAGTAGATCTCCGATCATACGTACAACCTACCCAGTCAACATCAGAGTAAGCAGTGAGGTCAAGAGAACCCTTTTTAAACCAGAGACCTTGTGTAAGTGTGCCTTTTAAAAATCGAAGAATTCATTTGACAGCTTGCATGTGTTGTTCCTTTAGGGAATGCATGAATTGACAAACTTGATTGACAACAAAGGATAGATCAGGTCTTGTCCACGTAAGATACTGTAATCCACCCACTATAGATCTATACTTAGTGGGGTTAGAGAGAAAAGGACCACTGTGATCAAGTTTAGTAGTACCAAGAGGAGTTACACAAGGCTTAGCACCTACCATATTTGCCTTGTTAAAAAGATCAAGTGAGTATTTACTTTAATGCATGAAGAGGCCTTCAAAATTTCTTTGCACCTCCAAACCCAAAAATAATGAAGGGGTCCCAAATCCTTCACAGGAAATGCTTTGGCTGAGTTTGTGAATGATTTGTTGACAAAAAATGGCATTTGGTCCGGTGACAAGAATGTCATCGACATAGACCAAAACAATAACAGGAACTGAAGCCTAAAGGACAAAGAGAGAAGCATCCGATGAAGACTGCTTGAAACCAAGAATGCGCAGGACTTGGAACAGTTTATCAAACCCTGAGGGCTTGTTTTAAGCCATACAGAGATTTTTTTAGTTTGCAGACATGACTAGGAAGATTGGAATCAATAAAACCAAGGGGCTGAGTCATAAAAACATCTTCCTTGAGATCACCATGTAAAAAGGCATTGTTAATGTCCAATTGATGAAGAAACCAGTCATATTGAACAGCCAAGGTCAATAAAACTCGAATTGTTACTGGCTTAGCTACTGGACTGAAAGTATCTTGATAGTCAACACCCTCTTTTTGATGAAATCATTTGGCTACTAAACGAGCCTTATACTTGTCCACTGTACCATCAGGTTTTCTCTTAATTCTGAACACCCATTTATAGCCAACAATGTTCTGAGACTGAGAGTGGGGTACCAAGTTCCAAGTACCTGTGAGTTGAAGAGCATTAAATTCTTCCTGCATAGCTTGTCTCTAGTGTGCATACTTTGAGGCTTGTAAGTATGTGGAAGGAACAAAATCAACATCAACAGGTAAAGGATGTTTTGTTGCAGAATAGACTTTTGGTTTAAAGATACCTGCCTTGGATTGAGTAAGCATAAGATGGGTGTTGGTAGCTGTAGAATTTGATGCAGAATTTAAGGATGATGTTAGAGAAGAAACATGCCCATTTGAAGGTGCAGTGGATTGAACTGGGGGATTTAAAAAAGAAATGGAGTCCTGGGAGGATGAAAGGGGTATCTGAAGAAGTGTAAATCAAGAGTAGAAGGTGGAGATGGAGAGTCCTGAGAAACTGCCACAATTAAGAATGATGAAAGGGGAACTGTTTTCATTGAATTGCACATGTCTAGAGATATATATTCTCTGAGTAGTAGGATCAAGACACTGATAGCCCTTATGCTACAAACTATAACCCAAAAATACACATTATGTACTCTCTCTTCTAACTTAGATTGAATATAGGGCTTTAACCAGGGATAACATGAGCAACCAAAAACCTTTAACTTGGAGTACTTTGGAATAGATTTGAATAAAATTTCCCATGGAGAGTTATTCAAGCTGGAAATAGGCAGTCGATTTATCAGATAGACTGTAGTAGAGAATGATTCAACCCAATACACATAAGGAACTTTGGATGCAACTACTAGAGTCCTTGCTGTCTCAACCAAATGTCTGTGTTTTCTTTCAACACAGCCATTTTGTTCAGGTGTATGGGGACAGCTAAGTTGATGAGATATACCATGATCTTGAAGAAATGATTTAAACTTGTTACTAGTAAATTCACCCCCTAAATCAGACCTCAAACATTTGATTTTATTACCAACAGAATTCTCAACATAGGTCTTAAATACAACAAAAGTGGAAAAGACATCAGATTTGGCCTTTAAAGGAAAGAACCAAGAGTACTTGCTATAGTCATCCACTATTAAAAGATAGTACTGATAGCCACAAGCAGAAACCACTGGAGCAGAGCCCCAAACATCACAATGTAACAAACTTAAACTAGTAGTAGAAACAGAACTAGATTGATTAAATGGTAGCTTGTGATTCTTGGCAATTACACAGTCCGAGCAGAAGAAATCAACAGAGTGCTTTCCTTGCAGTGCAAGTTTATTTGCAGATAGAACTTGCCTGAAGATGGGAGAAGAATGATGCCCCAAGGGCCTGTGCCAAATATTCACAGGGGCTTTAGTACCGACTAAAGCATGAGGTGATGAACAAGATAGAGAGAAAGAAGCAGGGATACCTTTAAAAGTATAGAAACCATTCTTAACCGGGCCCTGCAAAAGCATCTTCCTTGTAGAACGATCATTAACGATAAAGCCATTTGAATTCAAAGTCAAAGAGTGGAAATTATCCTTGAGAAATTGATATGTAGAGAGTAAATTGTGCTTCATTTTCGGAACATGCAACACATTGTTCAATTTAAAAGAGGCATGAGCAGTATTTAACAATGTACTGCCAGTATGATGAATTAACAAACCTTTGTCATCGCCGATATACACCTTATCTTCACCAGTGTAAGGAGTAGGATAAGATATATTGGAGATGTCATGGGTAATATGAGAGGTTGCACCAGAATCTAGAATCCATGAGGGAGAGGGTTTGGAAACATAATGAGTGTACAGGGCAGCAAGTTTAGTAGGGGGTACTTTCCTAAAGATATCTAGATTCATTCGATCATAGCAATCAATAGCTTCATGACTTGATGATCCACAAATTTGACAATTGTTACGAACACCAAAATTACTAGGAGAACGAAAGCCTTGATTGTTGTACTTGTAGAAACCAGAATTAGAATGAGCTCCCCTATTGTTGCCATGATAGGTGCGATTGCCTCTGTTGTTGTGAAAACGATTATTTGTCCTACCACGATTAGAGTTGTAGCGAGAAGAATTCTGCATAGGTTGATTCTGAGCTGCATAAGCCTGAGAAGAATATGTAGGAAGTAGAGGTTGTTGATTCTAAGCTGCATAAGCGTGAAATGGTTCAGGAGCAACTGATTTCTTTCGATGAGCCATTGACAATTCTTTAGTAAGAAGAAGACCATGCAGTTCATCCAAAGTAGTAGATGAGAGGCAAAGAGTAATAGAATCAACAAATGAGTCAAATTCCTCTAGTAAACCATGTAAGGTAGCAGCAATCAAGTCACGATCAGACACAGAAGCACCCGTAGCTGTTAAAGAATCAGAAATTGCTTTAATTTGTTGGAGATACTCAGAGATCGATTGAGAGCCTTTCTGAAGAGACTGAAGGCGAGATCGAAGCTGATGAATATGAGCATCAGAGATTCTACCAAACTGATGTTCCAATTTTAGCCATAGATCACGAGAGGAAGAAACCCCAAATGTGAAAAGAATAATCTCCTCCGAGAGTGTAAAATTCAACCAGATCAAGAGATTTTGATCTTTTTCATACCACTGTTCAAACGCAGAATTGACTGAACGATCATAAAGGATAGGAGATGGACATGGCTCAGAACCATCAATAACACCGAGAAGTTTGTAGCGACGAAGAATTGGGGCAAAGAGTGCACGCCATGGAAGATAATTCGAGCTCTTAAGCTTGATCGGTACCATACTTCCAATGTTCTGAATCGTGAGAGAGGTACAGCTTTGCACCAAATTAGGGTTTGGAGAAGAGGAATTTGGCAGAGAAGATGACGAATCGGACGCCATGGTGGATGAGAATATCAAGATTCAACCAAATAACCAAACAAATTACAGAGAAGTAAGAGAAGATTCACCAGAGATCGGAGCGGAGAGGCCGTGAGGCATTGAGAATCGAAGAGTCACCAAGACTGTGAGGATCGAAGAGTCACCAAAGCCGTGATGACAGTGACGATGACAATTAAAGATACGGTAGGGCCATGAAGCGGTGACAACTGTGACGATGACGATCGAAGATTCACCAAGGCGGCGACGATGACGATCGAAGATTCACCAAGGCCATGAGGCAGTGACGATTGATACCATATTGAATCTTAACTTTCAGAGAACTCAGAGATGTAAAAAATATCTTCTTCTCATTTACTTTTGTTACTGATCAATACACTTACATCAGTATATATAGACACAATTCTATTGACATAATTGACCTCAACATACAGCAGCTAATTACACATTTACCCTTTGTCTAACTAACTCCAACTATACAATTACTACTAGGCTCTTTAGTTTCTTGGTAGTTTCTTTTTTTGTTGGTTGTTTGAAAGCACTGAAATTTTAAATTTTAATGTGGAGATTTTGAGTTGTGGAGGAGACCCTTTTGAGATTAGGGTTTAATATCTTCGTTAACACTCATTTTTCTTATATGAATTTATATTATCATAAACTCTAATATCTTCACTTTTTTTGTTGCTTTGCTATTTCAGGACAATTTACCTGTACGCTACTGATGAAAGATAGAAAGGACTCCTTCAACATGGAACATAGAAATGTGATTAGAGTTCCTGCAGGGCTTCTATTTACTTAATTAACAATAACAATGATGAACCTCTTCACATTGCAAAAGCTCATCCGTTCTATTAACAGTTCTGGACGATTTGAGGTAACTAAGATCATCACTTCATTTCATCAATATTAGTTTTGGTAATTTATATTTTTATTTGTTTGAGCAATTAAGTACCTACAAATCCAATTAAATTTTCAAACAAAAACTTGAATTTTGTTTTAGTTTTAATATTTGGGGTTGGTAATTTATGTCATTGCTTTAATTTATGCATGAATTCTGCCCTGCTGGTTTTGGAAATCCCAAGTCATACTTCAACATTTCAGCGATGACATTATTGAATCTGCCTTCAATGTAAGTTACAATTCTTAATTTTTGTTCTTTGCCCTTTACTTGATTTACTTTGTTCACATAAATTAATTAGGCTATAATTTACAACTTTTAATTATTTGATCAGACCCCAAGAAAAGAGCCAATAGCAGGACTTTAGACAACAAAGGGGCAAACAAAGGGGTCAAGGCATAGTCATGAGCTCCCCAAAAGAGCAACTTGAAGCACTATTTGACTAATCACCTAGGATTGGTACCTGTAACCACTGCACATGTATAGTTTCTTTTTATATTACCTTGAATTGATGACAAATAGTGCTTTTTTTCTCTGCCACGATTCTTTTTGGTTCCATGATTTCCAACCTCTACAATGCCATCTCTGTCATAATTAATTCATTTACGTTGCCTTCTATAAAATGGAATCCACGTTATGAAAATTGCCTTCACTATAAGAGTGTAAATTGTCAGGTTTTTTTTATATTTTGAAGATTGGCTATTTTTCAAGGTTTATCGTGAAGGCTGTATTTACATGACATCTCTTCTTATATAAAGAGACAAAATATTGACAAGAAATTTTTTGATTTGTTAAATGTTGCTCTTTCTCTATGTTCATAAGATAATTGACAAACTGGTTAATTACACAAGAAATTAACAACTTTTGGTCAACTAACCTTATTTTAATGCTTTAATACGCTACTTCCCTGTTTCCAATCCTGCTTAAATATTGAAGAATGGCTATTCTTGCATAGTTGTATTGAACAGAAGCTATCCTCAGAGTAGCACCTGAGAATTGGAAGTGATCCCATCGGAGGCCATTTGCACCTAATGATTCTCAATTTCTTGGGTGCACCAGTAAGTCATTTATCTTCATTTCTCATTCACATTTGTTTTCCTTGATAACATAGTTGACAGTGCTTTTAGGCTGTTATTATAATTACTGTTAACAATTACTCTTAGAGAGAGAGATGGATATACCAACTCATGCATTTTCAAGGAGTACTATAACAGCATTATTGGAATTGGATAACAATACTTGCTATAACTTTGGTAAGGAATCGGTTCACAGTGTGGGGTTCATGGATTTGGATTTGGCATTCTCTAATATTAACCAATGAGTGGAAATTTTGATTGGTTTGACAGGTAATTTGGGTATGCTATTTACATTCAACATTTTATAATTATGAGAGAAATCGAGATCATTGTATTATATGTTTTATTAGCATTTAACATTTATAATTGTGAACCATCTTTGTCTGTTTATCAATTTATTTTTTATGGTTTTCAATTTCCTAAAGTGTATGGAATTTCACAATTGATCTTCATTTGCATTCATGCATTTGAACTTGCAAGTCAGATTTTGCTAAATGTTGTTTAATAATTTAGAGAAAACGTTTCAATTGATTGTCATGCAATGCAGTTGCAAACTTGATGATTTAGAATTAGCTTATCAATCTTCCATACAATTTCTAATCCTGTAGCAATGTGCGGACAGCAATTTCTAATTGTAAACATAAAGTATCTTGAGTAGGGCTGCTCGATTCGGCATCTCATTTACAAGCAGTTGGTTCAGCGTACTTATATATGAATATGCTACCACATCAGGGGCCTTAACCAAGATTTTCTTTCGTCGTATTGTAATAGTTATATAATTGTTACCTGTACTACTATGCTCCAAGGTCCTTGACCCTAAATATCAATTTGCACTCAATGTTAATATATACAGTTTCAGTAACAGTAACTTTAATTTTGTAGAACCTTAAACAGTGATTTACGTTTGTTTCAATAATGCTGTATAAGGGGAGTTTCAATGATTTAAAAGAACTCGATGCCCTATTATTTTTATTATTACTACTATGGGGTCGAAACTATTACATTATTTTAAAGAAAATGAGAGTTTCGAACAATAAATGCATGAATAGAAATTCATCATTCTATTCACTAAGATATATTAGACCACATACTCGATGCCTTTAATCATTTAAATGGGTTTTTAGCACAAGTTTTGTTTCAAACTCCCTCTTCAAGCTATAATATTTTTACCGCTTTTGCCATTGTTGGAACTTTTTTCTTTCACTTTTCTTGTGGACTAATAGTATCACTACCAGAATTTATTGTTTGCCCGACAGAAATATTACCGATGGACTGTATATTCGTCAAGCAAATTGTAATCAACAGACGGAAGAAATCATTCGGTCAGGTAAACATGGTCAACGTTTTGGATTTCTCTAGAAGCTTTAGGCTACGACAGACCTTCGATGGGAAAATTTAATCCGTCCGGCAAATCGGACTGAAAAAACATTCGAAACTAATAAGTTAGAACATTCCTGTAACTAATAAGTAGAACATCTTGACAACTAATAAGATATGAGAGAAGTTAAAGCATCCTAGAACTTAGAACATCCAATAATTAATCGTTTACCAGATGCTTATAGAAGTGAACGAGAATGACAATCAGCTAATCAGATAAGTTGAAAGTTGAAACAGAAAAAAAATGAGAGATTTAGGATTTATTAGAATGTATTATACTATATAGTACTACTCAGCTAGGTAGGTAGATAGGTTTTTACTTTAGTCAGTAGGGCGACAAGAGGCAACTTATGGATATTTTTAGGAGATGGAGGATATTAGTTGGGCAAAATATTTTTCGTCGGTAATTATCTGGCGCCAAGAAGAAAATTTGACGTGAATGGTCTTCAATTTGAGGGGACGAAAACTATATCCGTCGGTTTAAGTAATTTTACTCGATGCAGTGCTCCATCGAGTAACTATATCATTCCGTCATTTGAAACACCATGCTGATGTGTTTAAAAAGAGCGGTAAAACACTTAGTCGTCGACATATTTTGATTTAGCTGACAAAATATTTCGTCAAGTAAACCCTTCTCAACCATTAAGATTCATTCCTTCACCTTTCTCTCCATTTTCCTTTCTCTGCTTTTTTCCCCTCCCCTGAGGTTGCTTCTCTCTGCCTCTCTTCCCCTTCTCTGTATCTCTTTCTCTCTCTTACACACAAACACACTCTCCTCTATCTCTTCCTCTGCCAATTGATTGAAGGTTGGTTTATTTTAAGTTGGGTAAACTACACAAAACCACCTCAATTATGGGTCGGAACACAATCTTATACCTCATATTTTAAAATCACAATGTCATACTTTACTTTACGAATTTGTTGCAATATTAGTGCTCTGTCAATTTTTTTGTTAATTTCTTTGTTAATGCTGACGTGACTTGAGGTAAGACTCGCTCTCTAGCGCAACTGGATTAAAGATTTAAAAATAAAATCATTCAAATATTTTTATAAAAAATTGTGGGACCCATTGCCTACAAAGCCATCACCCTCACCCTTCTTCCCCAGTCCACCGGTCTCCTTCCAACCTTCATTCTTTCACCACCAAAACCAGAGCTCACACCTCTACCGCCGCCCTCACTCGCCAATCACCCTCCTTGATGCTTCACCCTTAGCTCCTCGAGCTGGTCCTTGTTCATATGCAACACCCATTGCCCGTCAGCATTCGTCAGAACCAAGTTGTCTAGCATTTTGTGCTCGAAAATGATGGGCTGAAGCAGGTAGTGCCTGGTGGAGGCTGCGATCAATGAGCTGATCGTCCAGACAACCCTCATCTTTGTTGGATTATATAGCATGTGCCATGTTATAGCTGATAGGTTTGGTTAGAGATAAGCATGGCATGTTAGCATTTGTTTTAGCTAAAGTCGGTTATATTAAGTACAGTAGCTTACTGTGTAAGCAAGGCAATTACATAGTATAAGTGTAAGAATTGAGATCATTTGTTAGATACGATTGAATTGAAGCAAATACAAGAAAACATTTTCTTCTTCACCAAGCTTTCTCTCTCTAGATTTCTTGCCCTTGCAATTATTCATTTCATCATCTCTGTCTCACTGTTAAGATGATATCAATTGCCGAGCATCGATCCTCATTTTGCTCTTCCGCTGTGTTTTCGTGGAAGTTCATCTGTGGTTCTGCGTTTTTATTGTGTATCTCATCTCGGTGCTTTTGATTCTTGTGAAGTGTGATTTTGAAGGTCTACTCTGTATCTCTATTATTTGTTGCATAGAAGGGAGGGAGGGTTGGGTGGGCGTAAAGGAAAGAAAAGAGGGAGGGTTTGGTGGGCTTGGGTGGGAGCGGAGGTGAGGTAGGAGAGGACGCCCAGATTCTCTTATTTTTCTTAATTTCTTTAATTTTTAATTTTTTTAATATCCACTTGGGCCCGATATTAACATGTGGCACCTAATCATTGCCCATGTGGGCGTCATGTCACCAGTTAACAGCTGATTCAACAGCAACCTTAACGGATGAATAAAAATATCCCAAAATTATGACTTTATATATCACTTTGGGATGAAAAAAACTTGATATACCAAATTTAAATGTTGAGAACCAAGAAACTTCATGGTAATAAACTGAGATTAACCCATTAAAAACTAAAGCAAAACATGACTGCTTCAGTGTTTCTTTCATGGAGTAGGATTCTCTCTCATTATATTTCTCTCCCCTTCCCTTCCTTTTTCTCACACTTTGTTTTTGTTATTTTATCTCTATAAAAGGAATCAATATAAGATGTTTGGGTGACTTAATCGTAACATTTCAAGTACGTGGAGAGGGAATGAGAGAGAAATTAGGAGGGAAGAGAATCTTACTCCTTTCATTGTGTTCAATTTTATTGGTTGATTGGGTTCAGTTTACTGGTTCATTGGGATCGGGTTTTCCTTTCATTGAATTAGCTAGAGTCATAATATGTTCGGCGTTTGATCCCCAATGTATGAGGGTGCTCATAGTAGTATAATGAGCTAGAGTTATAATATGTTGGGCGTTTGATCCCCAATGTAATGAATAAGAAAAAAAAACGTTTACAAATGTTTTTTGGTGTGACCGATAATGCTTATGGAAACGTGACGTGAAAGTTGGAATATGTCCCTTTGCCAAAGCGGAGGACCTTATATGTTGTGATCCTACCAAACTCAAACAATTCAACCAATTTTAATTTATTTTTTGTTCAATTACACCAGATATCTCAAAATCAAATTGACCGCTGTCTGTCAATATCGTATCACTCTGGCAAGCAACAAATTAAATCCAACATCCTACATAAAAGAAAAGTTTAAATCCAATATGGATGGATGAGTCTTTGTAGATGATTACTTGTCGAAAAGTAATGGAGTCCATCCAAAAGAATCGATAGATGCTTGTTTGGTTTTCTTTGCACTATCAGCTTCAAATTGCAGCACAATGAAGGGAGTGGGACCTGAATACCATTTCGGCTCTTATAGTCAAAGATTGCGGAAAGTTAAATTTGTAGTTACCGAAAATGTACCT